CTCGCTCCTCTGCCCCGGATCCAGTGGCCCAAGGTCCCAGTGCATCCTCCAGACCTGCAACTAGAGGCATATCCTGAGATGGTGGGGTCTTCTGAGAGACCTCCCGCTCCTCTCTCTCCTCAGCCTCAGCCATGGCCTGTCCCACACTCTCCTGAACCTCCTGTCTCCCCACAGTCTCCTCCTGAGTCATGGAAAGTGCAGCCTCATCCATCGCATCCTCTGATGGTGGCCTCGCCTCATGTGCCAAGACTGTGGGCATCCTCCACTCAAACCCCCCGGCTCCTGACTTCATCCTTGCTAGGGCGTCCTCAGTCTGCAACATCTCTTTATCTAGCAGGGGGATTTCCTCATCCTTCTGTTCGTTTGCCCTCACTTCCACCTTCTGACACTTGAAGACCTCTTTTGCAGGTTGCTTCCTGATCTCAAACCTCTGGACCTCTGTCCAGTCTACCACTGCAGTAGGTGCCTGCTGTGCACACTTGGCCTCAAGGTCCATGATTCTCTTTTCCCACTTCGCCTCCTTTACTTGAAAGGTATTCTGTTGTATCTGCAAGTAGGCCCTCAGATTGTCATTGACCTTGTTAAGGGTCTGGTTGACCTGTCTGATGGCCTCGTTGCCTCCCCAGGCCTTCTCCACCTCAGTCTTCATGGCTTCCATCTCCTTGTCCTGCCTCTCCAACTCCTTCTTGAGATCACCAATTTCTTTTTGTCAGTCCATTCTCTGCTCATGAGACGCCCGCGCCACCCTTGTCAACCTCTTCTCCATCTTTTCATCAGAAGTCTTGGTCGCCGCAAAACCCTCCTTCGTAAGGCCCTTCAGGCTAAGCAAGTCTGTAGAGACCAGCTTAACCCCCATCTCCTGATGCTGATCCTTGGGCCTCCCTGTTGCCTCCAGCAACTTATCAAAGTTGTCCCAAGCCTCTGTGAAAAGAGGAGTCTCATCATCTTGAGTAGGTGAGCCATTCCCCTTTCTGCCTTCTAGTATCACAGGCTACTCTCCCTACTCAACCTTCTCGTGCAGCTCCGCAATGTTCTTGAGTCTGATTTGGACTCTGATTTCTCTCTCTACTGCCGCTCTCTATTCCTTGTCCTGTTCCTTCTCTCTTGCAGCCTGATCCTCATCCTTTCCCTGACCCTGTGCCCTATGAGACGTCTCTGGCTGCATGCCTGGCCTAGGAGTGGTCTCAGGTACCTAAGCAAGGTGAGGAGGTATATCTGATCCACCTGAGGGCCCTCCCCTCTGGGTCCTCTCTGCAGTCTGCTCCTCTTTCTGTTGAGTCTTGCCAATATGCTGGTCCTCCCCTCTCTCCTACCTCTGGGACCTGTGCTCTCTCCTTTGGCCATCCCTTTGAGCTCCTGAGGTCATGCCCTGCTCAGAGGTTCTCCTCTCTGCAGTTTCTGGCTCCTTCCTCTTTCTCTGCACACTCCTCTTCTCCTCTGCCTGACAAGCTGGAGTATAGTAGTTCCAAAGCAATTTCTTGCAATGGCCCCAGTTTGTGGCAGGCTCCACAATAGATCTGACGAAGGACCTGAGGTGTTCCCTTACAAATAGAATAAAACCCCTCACCCTCTGGCTTGGTGGCTCATTGATGCTATCTGCAAACTCGTCGTAGCCCTTCAGGAATTCCCACAGGTTAGTGACATCGAAACGGATGGGTTGTCCATCCCTTCCTAATGGCGATGGGTGCAAGCCCTCCATCTTCCTCTCAAAATCCTGCCAGGTCAATGACTCCCTGACGAAGTTGGCAAGGGGCTGTGCCCACTCGCCTGCTCCTTGCACCTCCTGCAGCAGCCTCCTACTATCCCATCCAAACTCATGACCGTGCCTTTTGAACCCAACCATGAACAGCTTAACGTTGTCTCCTATATAAATGGGTGACCTGTCCTCTCTCCTGGCCCTCATCTGCGTCCCCTGTCTGGTAACCCCCAGAGGGGTCTCCACTGGCCCTGCCCCTCCCCTCCCTCTTGGCATGGCTGCCCAAAAATTGGTGTCAAGCCTGCATAACAAGGAAGAGACAGACAAAAGCACACAGAGGGTAAGCAGGTTCGGCAAACAAAACAGGAGACAGACATTCCCCTCCCATATCTACCTTAACTACATATACATACATGTGTAAATACACGTATATAAATCTATCTTAATACTATACTTTATCACACCATTCTACTGAGAAACATACACAATTTTCTCATATTTATATATATATCTCTATCTAGTAATACTTAACAGAAAGGGACTCTAAATTGTGGGACCCATGCTCACCTCGTCTCGAGCGACGAACTTCTTCAACCTTGAGCCTGACACCCAATCTTTCCAGGCAGTCTCATTCAGCTCTTCAATCTGGTATGCCCCATGCTCTCCACTCCTCGCGACCCTGTATGGTCCTAACCACCTCTTGTCCAACTTTCGCGACCACTGCTTCTCTAAGGATGAATCATATAGCAGCACAACGTCGCCCACCTTGAGAGGCTCCTTCCTTACCCTTGCCATCTTATCCCATCTGAACTTATCCCTCTGTCGGTTGTCAGCCACCTTACTCGCCGCACTTTCAATTCTGTCCTCTATCGCATTAATCTAACGAGCCCTTAGTTCTCGCAGTTCCTCAAATGACAAGTTTGTCTCGAGGTCCTGCCTTCTCCAAGTCTTTAGGAAGCTTTCGATAGGGAAGGTCGCATGTCTGTCATACCACAACGTTGTTGGCGCGTAGTTGGTGCTTCTTCTGACAGTGATGTTATCCACGAAGAAGGCAACCCTTAGGAAGTTAGGCCACTGATTTGACCTACCATTCGTCCACTTAGCGAGGAGATTCGTAATCGTACTATGACCCCTCTCCACAGGTGCATTAGCTTGAGGGTGCCCCACAGTAGTATACTCTGCGATCACTCCATACCCTCTCAGCAGTTCTTTCACCTCAGCACAAGTGAATTCGGACCCTTTGTCCATTACGAATCTTGAGACAAAAGGATAGCGGAGGTAATACTCCTCAATGCATCGAGCCAAGGTCTCACCAGTTTTTGGGCGTATGGCTCTGCCATCTACAAAATCGGAGAGGTTGTCTCGTGCATCGAAGATGAAGTTATACCCACCTACTCCCAGCGACATTGTCAATAAGTCCAAATGCACGACCGCCCCAACCTCGCGTACGTACCTTGGGTGAAGCGGCTCCCTAGGTCTAATGGAAGACCGCTCCTGGCATGGAACACATGACTTGCAATAATCGTTGATCATTCGTCCCATGCCATCCCAATAGTATAGCTCGTGTATTTTGAGGAAAGTTGTATCCTTACTCCTATGGCCACCTGCCTTACCATCATGTAGAGCAGCTATGACGTCGATCTGACGAGCGATGCCACAAACTCGCACGCATCTCTTTCTCTCATTTCCAACGAAAGGAGCATTCCTAATTCTAGATATATCCCGTCATACTCCTCCGTGCGAAAAGCCTCTTTTATCTCTCCCTCTTCAAAATCGTCGTCCTCTCCTTTGTGAACTACATTCTCATTCTCACCTTGCCGCTGATCCCCAATCCTTGCCACCTCGTCTTGAAGCAGAGCATTTGCCAAGAGGTATATCCCACCTATCGACCTCTCGTGCCCTTCTACCTGTTGCGCCCCATTTTCCATTGTGAGTAGGTCTTCGTGCAACTGGTATTTGTCTGCTAAGGCCAGATCCATCATCCACTGCACGTTTGGCATCCCCCACGAGTCCTCTTCGATGAAAGGCTTAAAGACTAGGTCTGRYCRKCGTACATGTCCTKGAGGCGAGMRCCACACAGGTTGCCCAGGAGTAACGTAGTTACCCACGACCATCGACCAGGAGTTGATGTGAAGTCTCACATCCTCCTCAGTGTCCAGAAACCCGTCGACTGGCGGAGTATCCTCGATCACTCCTTGATTATTTTTGTCCCAGTCGACTCGACTCAATCCGTCTGCTCTATTCTTATTTCCTAGAATTCGCTCTAATTCAAAATCGAACATCCAGATGTATGTTAACCACCTGGCAATAGTCGGGTCTGATGGAGCGAAATTCTTGAGAGAACCGGCTAGAGCAGTTGGGTCCACCCTCAACACGAACCTACTGCCGAAGAGGTAGTTTCTAAAGATCCTTAAGCAATGGAGAACCGCCAAGGTTTCGCGCTTAAACTGAGAGTAATTTCTCTCAGTTGTGTTAAGCGTGCGACTTTCAAACCTTAGTGGCCGCTCCTCTCCGTAAAGGTCTTGCTGAATCAACACACCTCCTAGCGCAGTTGGCCCTGCATCAGTCTCTACAATAAAAGGTCTGGTCATTACCGCCGAGTGGTCCGGTACTCCCAGTACTAGACCCCCTTCTTCAAATTCCTTCTTTAAACCCTTTATTACCAACTCCTGCTTATCTCCCCATTCCCAGTCTTGTCCTTGGCGCACGAGCTTTCGAAGTTGCTCCGTCTTTGCCGCAAACCCTTTTATGAAGATCCTCTAGAACCCACATGTCCCGAGGAAACTTCTCACCTCCGTAATAGTCTCGAATGGGGTTGGCCATTCGAGAATCTTATTGGTTTTCTTAGTGTCTGGTCGACGACCCCTCTCGTCACACACAAACCCCAAGATGGTGGCCCCGCTCATGCAGTGCCTCGATTTAAACCCACTTGCAGTAAGGTTATGCTCCTTTAGCAAGTCTAGGACCCTGCACAAGTCTTGCACATGGTTCCAGACAAAGCGTCTAATCCCTGGCATTACCTCCTGCTCGTTCTTCTCTTTAGGCCCTTTTACGGCCAAATCATCAATGTAAGGCTGAGTAATGTGAGGGCTTACTGGCTGCATTGCCCTCACCATGTGCCTCTTGACCATGGCGACTGCATTTGTCCACCCCTGTGGTGCGGCGTTCATATGAATTAACCTTCGAGGGGTATGCATTGCCGTCATCGGCCTGTCAGAGGGGTAAATAGGAAACTGTTCGTAACCAGAATATAAGTCTATGAGAGATATGATGGCTCTCCCAGCGCATGCCTCTGAAAGCGCATCTGCGTTAGGGAGACCACCTGCATCTCTCACAGTTACAGCATTCAAGCGCTGCAAATCCTGTACCCACCTCAAGGTCCCGTTTGGTTTGACGAAACAAAACCAAGGGGAAGCATATGGCCCACTCGAGTAGTCTGATACGTGCATACGAATTTTTCCATCAAGGTAGGTAACTACCTTTTCTTCATCAGCAGGATTAGGATAGCGCGCACCCCGCAAGTTCCATGGCTCGTGGGGAACGGTATGTATCCTAATCATCGGGATTCTATCCACATCCAGACAGGCCCGTTCATCATCATTGAAGGCATATGCAGTATGCTTTCCTCTTATGGTTTCCACCATAAGCTTCTCCTCTTGCGCCGTAAGGAAGCCGGGCTCCCCTATAACCAGCGTCTTTTCTGTCTCAGGAGTGATACGACATGGCCCATTCTGTGCGTCCTCTCGCATCTGCCGTATCAACTCTCGTTCCCGCTCGTAATATACTTCTTGTTCCTCAGTCACGAGCACAGGAACAGGGCGACATTTTTTATCTACTCTTTTGTACCACCTTTGTGACCCTTGCTTGAGCCCACCCTTAAAAACGGCCGAGTTGCACTCAGGGGTTGGGCTCCTGCCGATCCTCCTCTCTTTCCGGGCGTCCGATATACCAGCTCCACCTCTCCTTCACCCATCTGTTCCATCACCTTTTCTCTCAAGGCCTCTACGACCTCCATGTCCGCCATCCCATAGGTTGACACTATGTCCATAGCATCGCCTATATTGGTCAGGCTAAGAGTCAGTGCTTCCGGACTCCTTTCTTCTTCAAACTCATCTCCTCCTAGCCTCTTCCTTTCTTCTTCCGATTCCTCAATCGTGAAAGAGTCAAGATTGGGCCTATTCCTTATACTTCGTAGCCCCGTATTTTTGCATGTGATAACCTCATAGTTGCCACATACCGGGTCACATAAGACGAGGAACATTGTCCCATCATGCTTATTCAGTATGACGATCTCCGTTCGGCTCAAAAAGGATCGGCCCAATAGGATGGGATGGTCAAGATCGGGCATCACAAAGAAACAGCTTCTCACTTTAACCTTGCCAATCTCCAAAACCACTCTCGATGCGGTCCCTATGAACACAGACCGACTATTCGCTCCCATTAAAACTCCATTATCGGAGCGATCAATCTCCATCCCCAGGCGTAAAGCATGCTCCTCTTTTATGAGGTTCATTTCCGCCCCAGTATCCACCATTGTCGTGCACGTTTTTCCTTTTACTACTATGTCCAAGCATCCACAAGCGACGGACTTCCAATCCATCTTCGTGCCTGTCTCTGCCCACAAGCGCACACTTGCTACTAACCTTCTGGACAATCGAGCCTTTAGCTCGTCCCTCAATTTTGGAGCGGAAGCGAGGATATCCTTTAAGTTCATTAGGTCGTTATGGCCCTCAAGGAGTTGATCGACCATTTCTTCCACGTCAAACCCCTCCTCCATTCTGACCTTATACTTTCTCTTCTTTCCCTCCTGCTCTTTATCAGCGCTCGCTTTGGCGCCCCTCTTTTTGACTCTCTCTTCAGCCTTCTCGTCCTCTTCCTTCCTCAACTTTTCATCCTCGTCCTCGTCATCCTCTGGAATCTCTACCATCTCTTTCTCTCCACTGGGTCCCGGGCTGTCCTGAGTGGGATGGCTTGAGTCGGGCGCTCCCTTCGATCTAGTACGTGCTGCCAAAGCCGCCCTTCCGGCTCTTGACGGCGGCCTGAAGGTCATCCCAGACCTAGGAGTTGGCGCTGTGACAGTCACTCAGGGCAGATTTCCACATCCGCCTTGTGCCCTTGGGCCTGAATCGATGAGGTACACCAATGGGAGGGAGGCACAAAAGGCAAAACTCAGGCAAACGTCGCACACAGGTCGGTCATCTCCTCACTGACCTTTTCCCCAGAAATGGTCTCTCCACTGTTACCTTCGGCAGGGTTTTAGCCCATACCTCCAACACAGCTCAACCGTCGCGAGCGCGATACCCAGATCTCGGCAAGGCATTCGCCCTTTCCTCCTTACCCAGAATGCCCCATCCCGACTTGCCACTCGTGTACCCACTGTTAATCTCGGGAATCACCCCGTACATCTCGGTGAGTCCATTGGAGTCGGCCGTCCAGGCATTCACTTCCATCGGTCCGATAAGGAACAGCCTTTCCCAAACCAGGCTACGAGACGCTATTGACCGCCTCCCAAACTCCGTCTTTGCCCCCACACAGTAGTGCTCCCTCCGCCAGTCCACAGGCTAGGCCCCGCCTGAGGAACGTTTCACACCCCGCCCGACAGATCAATCGAGGTGACAAACTCCCGTTAGACAGCTCGGTGGCCTGACCCCCGCATACAAACAAACGGCAGCCTGTAAAGAGAACGGTGTTTGGCATCCCACAGTGGCCGGTGCAGACCCTCCCTTTCCTTCCAAATGGCAGGACGCTCGAAATCCCGATCATGCAATCACAAGTCCCAAGTGGGACACACATAGAACAAGTGTCTTTCCCTTGGTGCACCCAGCGCTTCCTACCCATTGCTCACAATTTTTCGCTCAGGACAATGCATGTCACTCACCCCTAACTTCCATACATAGTGCCTGGTTCCTTTTCGTGAGCATCTTCAAAGGTGAGGTAGTTTTCTTGGAGTCTAGCAATTCCCTTCATTCTCCTTATCTTCACTTCATGTGTCCGTTCTTAGGGCAGGATTGTTCCTTCTCGATTACCTTTTGTGTTAATATGAGGTTCATTCAAGCATTTAGTGTGGTGCATGGAGCCTGCTGGGCTCCAAAGAAAAGGAAGGAGAGCACCCATCTCGGTCGGATCACTCCGCCGTGGGATTTTCACTGGAACCCGGACTAGCCCGGAATCCCAATCGCCTGCCAGGTAACTGAAGCCCTTCTTTCGCATGAAGAGGAAGGGTCGACCTGCGGCTTGCCCAAGGCTTCCCCGGTCTAACGAACATCAGCCTGAAGGAAGGAGGACTAGAGTCATCTCCAAAGGAGATCTCCAAAGGAGATGGCTGATCAAAAGTGCAAGCATGCATGTTCTTCCTCCAGGCCTGGCCTTGCCATGCGCCCAACCACCCTCAAATCTGATTCGCGCAAAGGAATAGGGCACACACAAGTCCTCATTCCTTCTCTTCATGCTTATGATCGCGGTCATGCGTCGGGCGCCCCCCTCGAGATCGTAAGGGTCAATTTAACCCACTACCCGGCACCTTCACCATTTTTGTAGGGGCCGTACCCTGAAGGACTTTCGAGCCTCGGTCGACCCCACTGCGGGTCCCACTTGGCTCGACCCGCCCACGCTCATGCCCAGAGCACTGGTCGTTCATCCCAGAGGCATCCCCACCTAGTGCATTGAGATGGATGGGGATGAGCCTTTTGCGAGAGGGCTTTACATTGGGGGATGTAGCTCCGCTCTCGCATCAAAATGGTAGCTTTTCGGCACTCGTAGCGTTTTCTTGATTCATTAAGGTCTGACCAGGCAATTGCTCCTTCCAATACGCAGGCAGTCCAGGGAGTTCATTGAAGTCTCATCTTCTTATCGTGCGCAGGCCAAGCGTCATCCATTGGGCCACGCACCTTTTCACTAAGCCTAGCGGCCCTCGGCAGCCCCGRCGGCATCCTTGGGGTAAGGCGGCGTCGCCCGGACCCCTAGCCGCTATATTTTTTTTGCGAGAGCCGCTAGCATCACATCCACCTACCAAAGACCGCCCTTAGTCTTTTCAGGCGTCGCATTGCACATGAGAGAGAGACATTCYACGCAACCCCACACGAGCCGAGTCCGTGCATCAAACATCCGCCCAAGCACCGRCCTCAAACTCAACCCGCATCCACGGCTTCGGCCGAACCCAAGTCCTTCCCCTTAGCCAATCTCCCATCCTAGTCCTTATCCGTGGATCCAACCCGTCCGAATCGTCCCAAGCTACTCACCTGCGCAAGACCACACAAGACAAATGCCCAAGTACAATCCCCATTGGGGCCAACACATCGCCCCTTTCCTGCAAGCCTAAGTTTCCCTTGCCCTTCCACGATCCCTTGTTTTGCCCCTTCCTTCCCTCAAGCAAACCATGCATTCACCTTAGTCATGCACTCGGGGGAGATGGTTGAGTCAAACTGACCTCGTCCAAAAACAACACTCCTTTTTACTTTCACAAACGTTCTCAATAGTCTCGTATCCTTTCCTTCTTCGTGGCACAAGGGACCGACAACCCTTCCCTTGCCCTCGCTTTCCACCAAGTGAGGACCA